GGAACAAACTGTAAGAGACTCTTAATCTTACAAAACAAACTGAGGGTTGCAGGGGGTGAGGGGGTTGGATGATTGGGTTATGGACATTGGGGAGGGTATGTGCTATGTTGAGTGCTATGAAGTAAGCCTGATGATTCACAGACCTGTACCCTGGGGCAAATAATACATTATATGGTAATAAAAAAAAATAAAAAAATAAGCATAGGTAACCTGAGCCGAAGGCAGACTCTTAAGTGACTGATCCACCCAGGCGCCCTCCAGTATTCATAATTCTTAACTAAGGTACCCACATGTGGCATAATGATGAGCAGTTGAACCCATAGATAAAATTCCATGCATTCACTTTATTTTTTAAAAAGTTAACTGAGTTATAATACCCTAACTTACAATTAATACGTTCTTGTTCAGCCATCATTGTTGTGTGGCTCTCTGGATTCTCATAGGGAACATGGACGAAATTGTGGGGTTATATCTCCCTAAACGCTGCTTAGAATACTCAGTCAAGTGCAAAGTCAATGAGCATATCATACTCAAAAAGTATTGGGGATATATTTATACTTGGGACACAGAAGTGGGTACTGTTCTAATAAACTTTTTGATTATGTTCAATTTTGAATGCACTTCTTCATGTTCTTTTGTAACATTTAAGTAGATTATATAAATCTGTTAAATATGATTGTTTTCTGCAATGAACAAAGAAAGGCCCCCTGTGCTAGGAAAGAATCAAATTCGTGGTGAGTGATGACTTACTCAAGATGGAGTCATAGAAATTAAGAAAGCCTGATCACTAAATTTTAAGGTTAAAAATTCTGATATTTCATGATAAGGTGTCTGGGTTTTTTTTTTTCATATTAAAGTGGGTTGGAACCAAAGCACGTGTGAAGGTCTAGAGGAAACAAAATTGACCATGAGTAGATAGTTATTAAAGTTGGGTAATAAAGAATTTGGGAATTCATTTTACTATTCTCTTTATTTTTGCATATTTGATATTTTCTATGATAATAAAGTTAAACAAGAGAGATCATAATTGTAGCTTAAAACATTGAGATATTTTAACCTTAAAGTGATAGGTTCGGGGTGAAATATATTCCAAGATGTGCTACTTGAGTAAACTCTAAAAATGACAAAAGAATTCTAATGGCCATTGTCATGAACAAATAGTCTCATCTGATTCCTCATTCAGAAAACATAGGCGAGTTCCTTGGTAGTCAGTATGGCACCTAATCTCCAAAGTGGGCCCTCCTTGTATCTCCCAACCCAGGGCTGTCTTCCCATGTGACTTTGCCACTCCTCTCACCGAAAGATGGGGCCTGTGTACGTACTCTCTTGCACCCGGGAGAGCTTGTAACTCCAGCAGAAGTGATAGTGCACAAGTCTAGGTTATAAAAGGTGGTACAACTTCTGCCTGGCTCTCTTGGTGTGTGTCCAGCTTCTCTTAAAACCCAGTGTCCTGCGATGGGGAAGACAAGCAGCTACATGTGGCACCCCTGGACAGATGTTCCAGCAGATGGCCTCTGCTTGGGTTCCAGCTGTTAGCAGCATCAGCCTCCAGATTTGGGATCCAGCAAGCTTCCTAACGATTACAGCTCCAGCCGTCTGGTCACCTCCACCCTTTGAGCCCACCCAGACAAGGCCCCAGACACCATGGGGCAGAGAAGAGCCTTTTCTGCTTTCCCTTTTCTGAATTCTTACCCACTGAATCTGTGAAGGAAAAAAAGTGCTTGTTGGTTTGTGCAACTAAATTTGGGATGACTCGTTACACAGCAGTGGTAACTGCATCAGTTAGCACGCATTATTGAGGAGAATCTTACTTCTCAGTGATCGTTTCTTTCCGTAACATGTCCAGAAGACACATCTTTACTTGATGACTGTGTTCTGGTTATTCATAGTTTTTAGTATTTCTATCAACATGATGACTTCCAGATCAGGAGTTAGATTGGAGACCATCAGTTGTTCCCCAGATAAAGTCATTTACAATTGGACAGTCAGGTTGTCAGTTCTTACTCCACCTTCCCCCTTCCTCAGGACTTCTTGTCTTGCTGGAACTCTGTCTAGAACCGTGGCCTCCTACCCACACCCCCCGCCCCTGCTTACACTGGTTGAATTGGGAGCGAAGAAGAGGGCAACCTCATGTGTAGATGGGGAAGGGAATGTCAAGAAGCCTTTCTCTACCCATTTTTAACTGCATCCCTCCTCCTTTACTATGTAAGCAACACCGTTTATTGATGCACACGTAGCTGGTGCTTCTTTTGTCTGATTTCATCGCACTTTTCACTTCACATTGTATCTTGAAAAACAAAATGCCCTATTTTTCAGTGATAAACTGAATGAGAGTGTCCAGCACTTCTTTAGGTGTATGATACATCAACCAAAACTTCATTCACACTCTGCACATGGGTGTTATATCCAGGCGTATAGCAGACGCATGCTAACTTTAACTCTTATTTACAATGTTGCATTTCTCAGGTTTGACGGTTAAAGGAACACATTTTAGTACATCATACATCAAACTGTACCCCCAACCAATTTCCTAACAAGTCCCCCAAACACAGTTTATCATTAGTAACAGACCAGCATGTGAAGATAATTGTTTAGCATGTTACTTCCTGGTCATCAAATGTTTAATGTGGTTGTTGACAAGCACCTGCTTTGTATGTGGGGGAAATGTGCATTTTGCATAATGCACCATAAATGTTCCGTTTATGATAGGGAGTAACAGTTGATGCACTCAATAAATAAAATTTATTAGGAAAAATGCAGATAAAAGTACACAGTACAAGCTGGCAATTTCCTACCGTGGACTGTTACCTGGTAAAGTAGAGACTAAGAGCTTGAGGAACAGGTTAGAGTAGAGGAGGGAGGAGAGTTAATCAGTCATTTTCTTCATTGGTTATGGAAGGACATGGGCTGGAGTTGGGCGTTAAAGGGGCTATTTTAGGGAAAACTTCAGAGGCAGTAATGGAATTCTGTCATCTTTTTGAGGTTCCCACACTGACTCTGAATGGGAAGATTTAGGATGAAAAACTGCAAACCATACCTTTGCTTAACTTCCTGCTGTTTCGGTTTATAAATTTCTCTATGTGATGCTAAGACGTTAGGTAACAGGACATCATGACTGGTCTCTGAGTACAAGGAATCTCCCCAGTACGTATCTCCCATGTTGATTATACCTGAGTCTGATGTCCTACCAGTTGGACTTGGAATGTAACTCAAACAATTGCATATGTTGCTTTGTAAAAACGGTGTATCAAGTCTGGGATAGAAATCTAAATTTGTCCATTATGAACAAAGGTGGCGATGAAAACCAGGGGGGTGTTGAGCAGAGAGAATTCTATGAGGCTTTACACCACTCTCGTGTTTTTCATAACAAATAAAGCCCTGGGACTGGGGGTGAGTGAGTTTCCAGTCCATTAAAGTACTTTTCTCTTTTGATCTACTTGTCCAAAATCATCTGAGCATGTTCATTTTATAGTCAATATACGTACTGGATTCCCGTTACTTACTTACATTTGTAAATGTACTCTGAGTTATACTCATTTTAACGTTGCCAAGTTTCTTAAAATATTAGCCTAGTTTCATAATCATGCTAGTAATAAAATAGACAACTTCAATAAATTGAACAGTTGGACACAGTGAAAATTCCTCATTTGAGATGACCTGCTCCTAAATCCCGAATGTCAGCCGGGACTCACAGAACCATCTTCCTATGGTGCATGTGCGGACCTGAAGAATGTAACAGTTCTTAAGAACGCAATAGGATTATTGGAAAACTCATAATTAAGCTGATATTGCAAACTTGTTAGTCATAGTACTCCTTCCTCTAAAACTGCCTGTTGGCCTGCTTGTGACAGCTCAGCTGGGTACCAGCCCGGACTGTGCGCCACACTTCAGTGAGGACCTCCACTTACACCTGCTTAGACTTAGAACTCTTCTCTACCTGAGAAAAGCATCAGTGTCCAACAGTGCAGCTCTTATTTTCCCATAGTGTATTCTATTACTTCTGATAGTGCAATTTTCCTATTGTGCTGCCAGTGCTTATTTCAATATATTATTTTCATCATAGGTCACTGGTTTACCTCTCCCCCACCTTTCTTTTTCTTTTTTTTTTTTTTAACCAAAGGGCAAATGGAGTTTTTAACTATAAAATGGTTTTATCTCTAAAATGATTCCTTTCTTTATGATTTGATGATTTTTGATGATGTCATGCATTTATTTCCTCAATTAACTGGGTGCTCAGTATTGTGTTTTAAATTTCCGGCTAGGCCAGTTCGTTTGTATTAGAGGGCTTGGCAATTTCTGGGGCTGCACGATAGTATCAAGTGAGCTTTCCACCTTCCTAAAGACACTTAAAACTAACCCTGCGCTATGGAGACTCTGAGTACATTTAGAATTAAGAATCAGATTGGAGCTCCAATATTATTATTGTTATTATTATTAAGATTTTATTTATTTATTTGACAGAGAGAGAGGCAGCGAGAGAGGGAACAAGCAGGGGGAGTGGAAGAGGGAGAAGCAGGCTTCCCAGTGAGCAGGGAGCCCGATGCAGGGCTCGATCCCAGGACCCCAGAATCATGACCTGAGTTGAAGGGAGACGCTCAATGACTGAGCCACCCAGGCGCCCCTACAACTCCAACATTATTGAAAAAGAAACAATGCAACTGGATCCCCATAAATTCCGCCTCCCAGTGATGGTCTAATCGCATCCAGAGAATTATTTCACCCTTAACTGTCCATGCCCTTCAGTGGGATTGTGCTTTTTTTCTTCCACAGTAAAATTGTCAGCAGCGTCAAGTGGTTTGGGAAGCAGTTCAGTTTTAAGACCAGAGTTCTCGTTTTGAAAACATGTTAGTTTTTCCAGAAACTCTGTTTATCTCTCCCATCTCCTCCCACTGTATTCTAGTGTTTCCCAAATCCCCCCATCTCTGCGTACATATCTGTTTGTCTTTCTGGTGTCTGCCACATTGGGAAGTCTCATTAAACCCGCATCTGTTCTCTTTTAGGAGAAACCTGATGCCAGCCCCACGTCACTTCAGCTGCGGTCCCAGATCGAAGTAAGCACAATGACTTTAATCATCTATTTTTGCTTCTGCTTTTTTTTTTTAAGTGATATTCTGTACAAATCAGAGGAAGCCTGCTGCTCTAGCTGCACTGACACTGTGTCTCTTTCTCCTAGGAGTCCCTTGGCTTCTGCAGCGCCGTGTCAACACCAGAGGTGGAAAGAAAGTAAGTTTCCTTCCTTTTGCCCGGGATCAGAATTTCTAAGTAGGTCCATCCTGGTGAAAGTTGAGTGGGTGATCATGTTGTGTCTGTGCCGTGGAGCTTGAGGTCATGTTCCTTGCACAGGGTGTATGTGTGTGGGTGTGTGTGTGTGTGTACACGCATGTGTGGGTGGATAAGAGTGTGTTTTGTAATTCAGTTGAAGACTAAGGATTCTGCAATAGTTACTGGTGTCACACAGCTTATTGTGAGTGAACCCCAAATAACTGACTGGAAATGAGCAGAGAAAGGAAAAGGACGGGTCCATCAAAATGGGTTTTCTTCTTTTAAAATAGTCTCCGATACAGGGTGAAAGTCATAAAGAAGCAAGGTACAAAAATACAATATATTTCAGAATAAAACAATTTTTAAAAACAAAACAAAACAAAACAACTCTCTCCGCATGTGACTTTGGTGGGTACCCTTAGAACAAGAATAAATGCTTGTGACAAAATGGTAAATGTTTCTTAACCTTTCCTGTTAAAGGTGATATTTTTGCTTCTTTGTCCTGATTTGGGCCCTGTAATCTTTACTGTCATGGAAGATAATTCTATGTTATATCTTATATCCACAGTGTTTCTTTTAGGCAGCTTTAAAAAACGAAACAAAACAAAACAAAAACAAAGCGAATGGGTTTGGTTTTTTTTATCTTTTGTTTTCTATAGCCTTTCCCGTTTCTTCTTTATTCCATCATAATTACACTAGAATGTTCTATTTATGATCTTCCGAGGTAAAGAAATTTTAAGAAAGTCCTCATCTTCAAACAGATGCTTCCTTTGGTACGGAACCCTTTACAGTGTTTGGTGCCAGGAGAAGCATAGAAGTGGTTTAGCAATAAAGTATTTCTGGAATGAAAAGCACACGTTGGGAGAGCGTGTGTGTGCTTTACGACACAGCTCTGCCTAATCCATCCACGTGTGTGCTGCTGGCCCAGAGGAGCTTCCAGGAGGGAAGGCTGCTTTGCCAAGGCTTCAGTTCTCAAAAGGTAGTGCAGATTTGGTTCAGACTGAGGAACATTGGGAGTGACGAGCAAAAAGCAAACCAAGGCCATTTCCCATTCAAGGTTAGAGAATGCATGTGCCATTAACATGAATCTCCTTTGTCTTAGTTGCGTGAAACCTCCCACCAGCTTAGTAATGTGGAGGCTGAAGGAGCTCAGAGATTGGAGTTGACATTGATTTGGAAGTTGGTGGTAGGGTGGCAATAAATTGAGTTGAGTATAGGCAGAAGCATGGAGTTAATGGAGTAGAAGTTCTTCTGACCTAGTTTGCTACCTATTTGGCATGATCCGGGCTGAGAACTCAGGTGTTCTTCAGAATCTTGAGTCCTTTGGGAAACAAGAAATGTTTGCCTTTTCTCCTAAGAGGAAGTGACTCACCAAATTTGTACTAATCTTAGTTAGGCTGGGTATTTCTTCTTTCCCCCCGATTGTGGGTAGTCATTCTTTCCGTGTTTACATCCTTCACTTAGTAAAATGTGGCGTGTCTCTTGTGGCCAAGAGAGAGACTCTCAGCCTCCTCTGAGGTTAACAAAAAATTCTGAACACACACAACACACAGTACTGGTGACAGTCCCAGCCTCTCCCATCTATAAATCTGCCATTTTGCTTCTGTTCTTTTAAGTGGTTTACTTGAACCTTGGTATTTCTAAGTAACTTAAATGTCGTAGCCCATTTTGTTCTGTATTTCCTGTTGAATGCTTTTTGAAAACTCTGGTACTCTTGTTTTTCTTATTTAAAAAAAAAAAAACTCTTGAAAAATCTTAAACTTACTGTAAAGGTGCAAGAGGTGTGCAGTGAACTTCTGTATAACTTTTACTTAGACTCAGCAGTTTACACACTCTTATTCTCCCTCCTAGACACACACACACACACACACACACACACAATATTGCTAATTACGATTATTGCAGAACAATCAGAGAGTAAGTTACAAACTCTGACTCTCACTTCTCAGTACCTCAACCTGTATGTCCTAAGGACAAAGACCTCTTACAGAACTCTGCAGTGTAATTACCAAATAGAGAAATTTGAATAGTGATTTTCCTAATCTATAGTTCATATTCGAGTTTCTCTAATTGCCCCAGTAGTGTTTCTTACAGCACTTTTTTTTTTTCAATCCAGCACTTAAAAAAATGACTCATCACATTCACATGTCCTCTCTCTTGTCATATTTAATCTGAAAGGATTTCTTGGCCTTTCTTTGTCTTTTATGCTACTGATGGGTTTTTTAAGAGGGTAGGCTAGTTGTTTTGTAAAGTATTCCTCTGTCTGGGTTTCTTCTTGGGACTCAGGTAATGCAGTTTTGCTGTTGCGTTCTTCCCAGTAAACTGCATCATGCTATGAATCTGTCCCATTGTTGGTGATACTAATTTTGATCATTTGATTGTGGTGATGTCCATCGGGTTTCTTCTGACAAGTCAGACTTTTTCCTTTGCAGTTAGTAAATATTCCGTGGGGAGATGATCTGAGACTATATAAATGCCTTGTTCCTCATCAAACTTTTACCTGATGGTTTTAGATTCCTTTAATGACTGTCACCTAAATCAGTTTTTACAGTGATGGTTACAAAATGATGATACTTATTCTTAAGTTGGTAATTCCTTTGGATTAAACCTTCCAAAAGATTTTCTTTCTTTCTTTCTTTTTCTTTTTTAAATAAGGTGGGCACTCTAGGTTAGATTATAAAGTGAAGAGTTTTGTTTATATTGAATTATTTGGATTTTTTTTTTTTTTTTTTTTTTTTTTACTTGAGAGTGCAATTACTTTGAAATGCAGAATCCTGCTAGTCCTCTGATCAGAATGCTTGCTGGTAGTTTTGTAAGCCAGAGAGGATGACCTGGTAAACCCGCTGGTTGTGTCTGGTGAGCATCCACCAGGTATCTGCCAACCAGAATATCCTTCTGAGTTAGCAGTGTTGTTTTATGGGCAGAACTTTTCTTCTGCAGTCAAAAGGCAAGAGAACTCAGACAAACGTAGGCAAATCCTGCAGCAGCCTGCCCTTAGAGCAGAGGCCTAGATGGAGGACATGGGAGTCCAGTGACTGGCCTTGTGGCTCCTGTGGCCTGAGCCACAGCCCCTCCAATACCCCCTCATGTCTCAGGGGCCACAGGACATCTTTTTCTCTCCCTTCTCCCCCAGTTAAAACCTGAGCCAAAGAAGGAATCCAGTGTTCATTATAATGCAAATACCTGATTTCTTAAAAATTCGTCATCTCTCCCAGGGGTATTTACCATTTAACTGGGTTTAAAGTCTTGAGCTACAAGAACTTAGCTCTGACCAGAAGAGACCAAGGGGGTGGGTCTTGTGGGGGTGACAAGCAGTGAGAAGTCAGACAAGAAGTAAGGATACACCTAACATCACTGCAGCTGTGCCCTCTGCCAGGTAGGGCTGATTGGCTGTACTTGCTGGTAGACATGTGGGACCCACAGGATAGGTGCGGCTGTCCATACGCAGAACAGGCCTGCCCCCACCAGTCTGACAGAGGCTTTGTTCCTCCTTATCTTACGTTCTATGTGGTCTCTCTGTGCTTTCACTGAAAATATTAAAAAATGCTAAGGGAGCTTTCATTTCACTCTCTTCTATTTATATCTATTTACCTTGCCTATCGATGAGACTATCTACTTTATTACAACAATCTTGGATTTGTGTCTACTGGCTAAAAAGCTGAATGTTAGTTACATTTTTTTGTTAGCCTGAAGAATATCTGGAGAGCAAGACTTCTTTGCTGGGGAAATTCTATTTATGTATGTATGTATTTGACAGAGCGCACACGCACAAGCAGGGGGAGAGGCAGAAAAAGAGGGAGAAGCAGGCTCCCCACTAAGCAGGGAGCCCGATGCAGGACTTGAGCCCAGGACCCTGGGATCATGACCTGAGCTGAAGGCAGTCGCCCAACTGACTGAGCCACTCAGGCGCCCCCAAAATTCTTTATAACTGTGTCTGTTGGGAATGCATTTAGCTAGAAATCACAGGAAACATGACCTATAGTGGCATAAAAAGAACACAGCGTTCATTGGCTACCTCCTCCTTCCACTGGGTGATCTAGAGGCTGGCACGGAGGCTCACCTGAGCCTTCAGGAACCCAGATTGTACTGTTTGTTGTTAATCCCTGGTTTTAAAGTGGCCACTGCATTTTCCAGGTGGGAAGGAGAAACAGGGTGAAGAAGGTCAAAGGGCAAAAAGCGACAGGCACATCCTTTAGAACGCTTTCCTAGAAACCCTGTCCAACACATTCGTTTGTCTCATTTCTTCAAGCCGCAGCTGTTCACTGAGCACCGGCTTTGTGTGCCAGCCCCCATTTGGGGCTCTAGGATGTACGATGAACTGATGTGAGCTGCGTCAACATGGACAGAGATGTCGTAGAAAACATTTATATGCTTTCAGTGGTGCTACAGAGAAGAGTAAAGCAAAGAAAGTGAGCCCCAAATTGGGGCACTTGTCCACCATTGCCACCAGAGAGCTTGGAGGGATGTGTGTTTTCCGCTGACTACTTTATTGCCCTGAACAGGATGGGTGTCTTAAGGAAGGAGGGTGCCCAGACATTGGGCAGGAAACTAGCACTCTTTTCCACAAGAACCTAACCTTTTATTTGTACGTGTATTTCTGAAACAGAGTAATCTGAAAATTAGCTAGCTGTCTAATAAATAAGCTATGTGTCAAGATGATTTAGATTCATTCCTTTCAAGGAAGCCAACTATAAGGGAGCCCATCTGCTTATTATTTCTAGGTGTGTATCTACATTGGAAGTAGCCTTAATAGGGTTGGTTCTGCAGATTGGAAAAGAAAAAGCAGGAGATAGCCGGTAACGTTGATTGAGCACTGAGTATGGGCCAGGAACTGATCGAAGTACTTAACATTGACTGAGTTAATCCATCATCCCTGTGAGGTTTGCTATGATATTATTCCCATTGGCAAATGCAGAAACTGAGGCACAGAGAGGTTAATAAGTTGCTCAAGGCTACACAGC